AGATAATTACAATCAATAAAGTTGAACATCTATGTATGTGAAAAATGTTTGAAATGTTTAACTGTAAAATATTGTAAGTTGCAAGTTTCCTAACGGACTCTAACCAGACGCTAATATTACTTACGAAATGAATCTTTTTGAACATAAATTTATAGTTCCCTTGGTTCCTGCTGACTTAATAAACAAATGCTATTCAGTTTTCTCAATGAATGGAAGTGTTTCGCGTCGATAAGCTCCCAGTTGTTGTAACTAGCAAGCAGATAAAATGAAAGGATATACAAGGCGATTACATCGGCGGGGAAGTGGATGGGTAGTGGTCAGGGGTGATGGAGGGGGAATGAGAGTAAGGATTGGATTGAAGTAGATCTGCAGTTTGGACATACAGGAATATACGTGTTTAGGTTTGGTGGTGGCACCAATATTTATAGGCAGTCATTTAACTTGTTGCACAATATAGAAGAGTTCTGGCCCGTAGTTAGAATTGTGCGATCATATGTATACGTTGTGACTCTGACTGCCTCATGGAGGTCTAGGAGTTTAGACACGTATATATTGAAAAAGGATCGGTGAGAGAACCCTGCCCTGGGGGACATCTTGCTTTAATTTCCTGGTTTTGATATTTTAACTTTAAAGTCTACGATGGATCATCTACCTATGAGACAGTTACAAAGCCATCTTTTTATTGAGTCAGGGGTAGATGCTTCAAATAATTTACTAAGGTGCTATGCGAGATTAAGACCAACTAGCACCGTGCATTCGCACGGACGACTGGTTTGGGCCATTGGAGATTTGGGATGTCATCTCGCAAAGAGCGGAGGTGGTGTTATGACAGGGCTAGGTGAATGTGAGGGGAATAAGTTACTATGAAGCGAAGTAGAGATTGAAAATATAATTTTTTAAGAATCCAGAGATAGCAACATATAAGCCTAATCAGTAACTAAACCTAAATCGTAACAATATTAATGAAAGTAATCCCAATACTTATTGCTTGAAATTTTAAAGCGAACTTTCGAATGAATAATTATCAATTTAATTTGCAAGGTTCATATGAGTAATGTAACATCAAGTTGCCTTTGTTTAAGTCTGTTCTCTATGTTTATAGAATCTTACATATATCGGTATGTATCTCGATTTAATGTCAATTGTTAAATATGCGGTTCTCAAATCGAATTCAATATGTGTATTCTCAAGCAGCCAAGTATATACAAAAATACAAATTAAAAAGAGTTAATTAAAATTGTAAATGAGTTATTCCTTTTTTTATTAAAAAATTGTTATAAAAGCATGTTACTTAAACTATTAAACTTTCTAAATAGACAATTGAGAAATAGAGTCCTCTCTCGACAAACAAACATCACGCTTCATAAGTCTCTTATCATACCTGTCCTGCTGTATGATGCAGAAACATTTGAGTTAAAAATTCTTCGAAAAATCCATGGTACCTTACGCGTTAGCGACAAGTATCGAATTAGATGGAACGACGAACTTTATGAACTATACCGCTACATTGATATAGTTAAGCGCAAAAAACTTCAGCGGCTTCGCTGGCTTGTTCATGTTGTGGGAATGAGGTTTTTAATTCGGTACCCACTGATAGAAAATGAGGTAGAGGACGTTAGCATCTTCGGTGCAAAAACCAGTTGACCAACGATTTGGGGCGCTCAGTATTACCAACTGACGACAGCAAGTCATTGATCGAGCTGGTTGGCGGAGGCTACTCGATGCGGCAAATGCGGACTCACGTCTCTATTGGCCAATTAAACAAGAAAGTATTAAACTTTCTACTAAAACACCATATGATATGTTATTTATTGTTTGCCATTTTCTAAATAGTTGAATTTTTTTTAAAAATGGTTTTTAATTATCAACACTTCCATATACTTCCATCCAATGATTTTGGCTTGAGTTTGATGCCATCCTCTTTAATCTTTATAAGACTGAAAAGGGAAACACGGCTTTTATTTGTTTTTCAAGAATATTCCGAAGTAATCCCTTTCTGTACAATAATCCTGGCCTCAATTATTTTCAAACTTCAAATTGTGCATATTTTTTTCAAGGCCAAATAAAATATAATAAACAAAAAAAATATATACTAACTGTATTATTTTGTTTTTACAATAAAAAGAAAGATTAAATAATATGAATGAAAAATTTAAAAACAAAGCAGAGCATGAAAACCGTTGCAAATTGTGTTGTGGTGAATATTCTATAAAATTTGTTTGCGTTTGGTCAAATCATTTTCTTCACCACTCTCGTGTTTTTAGTCAACATTTATTTAGTTATGTTGTGGATTTCAAAGTGTGAGGTTGCAGCGGCTCCGGGAAGAAAGTGATTAAATAAACATTTTCGTTTACAAAAACGCTTTTAATTCTTAATATTAAAAGTTATAAGTAGTTTATGTAAAAAAATGTTTAAGCAAAAAAATCGTGCTTAAATCATATTGATTTAAAAATAAAAATTTTTAAATTATAAAATTTCTTCTGTTCAAATAAAAATGTGTTTTATAGTCATAAGTAAATAAACTTTGTACATATTCTATATATTTTTTATTTTATACTAATAATGTGTATTAAACGAATTAATGAACGATAAAAAATAATAAAAAAAATATTTTTAATAATTTTAAATAAAAAATTAATACATCCTTAAATCTAAAGAAGTTTAAAAATAGATTATAAATACATATGGTATCGTATAAATAAAGAAATATTAAATAAAATAAATATGATGAATATAACAACAAATAAATAAAAAATGAAAAAATATATATTTTTATATAAAATATTCCATATTTTATATGGAATAAAATATTTCACGTATACAAACATAAATTAAATTATAACTATTACGAACTAAATTCTCGTTTAAAAATGTGATCATTTTTCTTAAACAATTTTCTTGGTTGATCCCTCTGATGTGAGTAAGAAGACTTGGTAATGTTTTGAAAAGATTTGACTCATTGCATTATAAAATGTGATTGTGGTATAATTTTAAACGACTGGATTCATAGTTTGTTTCTTATTTGAATTTCCACATTACTCACATATAACTTAGCTTAATAAGATATTTGTTGCAATTTTCTTATTACTTTCTTATAATAAATTAACTACCTTACGACAAAATAATTAGATTAGAAAAAAAAACTACTTAAAAAATAGATTATTTGATATATTCTACTCATTTTGTACATTTTAATACTTACAACCCAATTTTAAATACGATATTGCTCCTACCCGCTGATTTTTATAAATTGCATATCGCTCTACCAACTCTTATTAAATTTAAGTGAGGAGCTGACTTGATGCTTTTTGTTTTGCGGTCTTGTGAAAAATATCAAACCTTACATATCTCTTGCGGATTTTATCCAGAAAAGTGAAATCCATTAAGGATTTCAATATAATATGGTAACTACACTATAACGAATATACTTTTTAGCAGCGTGTTTATATACCGATTTTATTTTATTTAGGCAAGAAGTTTTTAAATTTAAATAGATTAGCATTATATAAATTTTTGAGTACAACACTATCAAGGAAATAGTTGTTGAAATTCGACGTACCAGACTTCTATTTATAGTGAAAGATTTACAAGACTAACTGATATAAAACTAACTTTCTTTAAAAAATATTGTAGTGTATAAGACCGAATCCCCAAAATGTTATTAAAGATTAGTAATTATTGGTGCTTACCTGTTATACTCGTATAAATATTATGGCTAAATTGTCGTAAGACGACAATTATGAGGACGATATTGTTGTTGATAGTCATTATGATTATATGAAGATAACATTCATAAAACCACTTATGCTACTGCTTCTTGATGACTAATCTATGTGAATTCATAATTACATATATCTGTTATAGTTATATCTGTGTATACATTATAGGAATTCTACTTTTGTAATAATTAACCGAAAACTGTGGAAAATTAAATTACTTAAATTAATGTATCTTTAAATAGAGACTGAACATACTTTTGCAATAGAGTCCCGCCTTATAATACAGAACAAAATTATAGAACCATGATTTATTCTAATCAATTATATTCACTATATTCCTCTATCTTTGTGCTTTCGAATTTTTTATATAAGTTGTAGAAAAAATATATAAGGCCAAGGATATTTTATTGCAATTATTATCAATGGAGTTATTTCTTTAAAGTCGTTCATATATGGTGTAGGATGTTATATATTTCTTTTATGTTTAAATGAGAACCAGCACGAAAAGGGTACAATTAATGTTCAATATTCTAAAAAAGTTCTATAATTTGAAACATCTTAAAAAATCGTTATGTTCAATAA